GGGGCAGCGGTGTCCCGGGAGAAGCTGCGGTGAGCGGGGCCGAGGTGCGGGCTGGGGCCCTGAGCTGCCTTCTGCACGCACCGCACTGCACTGTGGGGACGGCCTTCAGACCCGCACACTCCAGTGCTTTCTGCACAGACCCAGAGCTGAGCTCGCCGTCTGCTCAGCCCCTTCCCTTTACAGGCAGGTACGTGGGCTGGCAAAGCCTGGGCTTGAACATGTGTTGGATGCCCAGGTGAATAATCTGAAGTGGGTGTTGATTCCAGTAGCAGGGGCCTTGCAAGAGCAGTTGGAAGAGTTTGTTCTTGAAAGGTCAAAGAACAGCTCGGTTCAGGCTGCTGATGGTTGTCTCTGGGTCTCACTGCTGCTGGCACAGTCCATAGGAGCCCGTATAACACACACATGAAATTCCTCGAATTAGTTCATCAGTTTAAACCCTCTAAATGAACACGGTTCAGCTGGGGAGCCCTCACACTCTCTGCTCAGTGTCTGTAATCTCTTCCTGCTGCTTTTCTCACCATTTCAGTTCAGATCACCCTGAAGTGGCGGGTTCACACGTTTGTTTTAGCGCCCATGTGAGAACCACACCAAACTCCTCCACACTCCTTTGGGCCAAAAGACCTGGGCTGGCCACTGGTTGCCTTGGAGTCTGAGTACTCTGAGCAGTTTTCTGTTACAGACTGGATGGTATTTATTGTGTACTTAGGTAAAAAGCTGCACACAAGTCTGATAAATCTTTGTTTTCTTCCATCAAGCTTGCAGCCCCTTTATTCAGGCAGCCAGATGTTACGCCAGACCTGTGCGAAGAAAGAGGAAAGGTACGTTGGGATTAATGGGACCACATGCCAAGGTGTTTTACTGTTGACATTGTCAGAGTCATACCCTAAAGCTGCAGGAAGAGAGGGTGTTTGGAGAAATTAGGGATTTTCACTTGAAAGATGCAGAGCTCATTATGAGAAGACAGAGAAAATCTAATTCCTGTTGCAGGATTCTGCAACTTCTTGATGGGCAGTTACAAGGATGAGGGAACTGGACTTCTCTTGGTACTGCTAAACGATATAATGAGGGGCAGGGGTCCCAAATAGCAGCTTGGAGATGTTCCAGCTGGGCACAAAAGGAAAAAGGATTCACTAGGAAGGCAGCTCAGCGTGGGAACACAGAGGCTGTGGAGTATCTATCCTCAAAGGTTTCCAAGGCTTTGGTAGACAAAGAAATTATGACAGTCCCTCTTTAGAGGGGGGATTGGACTAGAAGCTTCCCTTTGTAAACCTTTTTGTGGTTTTGTGTTTCTAGAAATAATTCCTTGCAAGCTCAAAAGTTACTCAGAAAATTCAGCAGCTGTTGAATGTGTGGGAAATGAGCAAGTGTCATTAGCAAGAGATCACTGATCTCAGTGGGCTGTACACCAGGTTGTAAACCCAGAGTGCTGAAGGCAAGAGACTGGACCCCATTTTATTCACTCGGTTCCTGCCATCTCAGCTTGATCTCTTCAGTTCTTCCTTCTTGTTTGGAGTGTACAGTCTCTTTTCTTTGCAACTTGTTTCCTCTGATCTAATTTGCAAGCATGTTCAAAGCTCTGACTTTGTACTGCTCTTCCTCAAATGTTGATCCTCTCTTTGTAGAGTTCCCCAGCCAGTTGGATGATCTTCCTCCAACAATGCTGAAGAAAGATTATGCCAATGTCTCCATAATAAACAGGTATGATACAGGGAAGGGGTGTGGCTGTTCTCTTCAGAGATTTGTATCTTACACACACATAACCCCAATATGTGGAAGCTGTCAGATTAAGTGCTGGTTCCCCACATCTTCTGTTGTCTTTGTAGTCTATAAAGAAAAAGAAGTAATCTTGAAATACTAGAAATAATGTTCTAAGACATAATCTGTGCCTGTCTTGAACTCAGGTGTTAGAGAGTGTGTAGTTAAAACAACTCAAAATGAATGGCTGCTTCTGAAATCTGGACCTGGAGTTCAGCATTTTTATGCTTTGAGTCCAGAGCTGCTGATGTGTGGTGCATGGAGAGCCCCCAGTGGCCTGACTGAGACTTTCACGGGTCTTTGAAGGAGCCAGTCTTAAAATTCATTATTTTGTCTTTGCACACTTACTTGGGGGTTAATCTTCAGCAGCCAGTTTGCACATAATGTTGTTTTTGGAATTGATAAGACTCTACCATTATTTGAAATAGCTGTGCTTCCTACAGCAGCAAAACTGCTCGATGCTTCTGTAATTTCAGCCATGATTTAGAGTGAATTAAAGTTGAGAAAAGTTTAATATGTTCTGAAAACCTCACCTCATTTCTGTTGTTAAATACCCTTCATTTCTAGCTCATAAACTAATCTGCACTCTCCTTGCAGTGTTGATGATGTAGTGAAAAGACTGTTGTCACTGGAAATGGCGAGCCAGGTTAGTTTCATTCTACTTGCATAAAAAAATAGAAGATTTAGTGAGCACATTCATGTGAGACTTGTCTGTATTGTTAAATGCCCTTCACTTACTTTATTTTTACATGTTCTCCAGTAACTGCAGATCTGGGGCTTTTAAATACACGAGAGTGATAAGTCCTCTATGCTCTTACAATTTATCATGCAATCTTTTATGATAATAATTGCATACTAAAATGAGAGAAGATAATATTCAGCAGTCACGGGGGAGATGAGTTGTGTTGGTGCTGCTGATGGTTGGTCTCTGTTCTAGATAATAGTTCACTGGACAGCAGTTGTTCTTCAAATTACTTTTATTTTTTTGTATCCCCAGAAAACAAAGGAAGCAAATCACAAGGCAGCACAAAGATCTCACCGTTTCTTCCTGTTCACCAGTTAAACTTAAAAAGATGAGAAAAGTAAAGGCTGCTGCCACGCTGCAGTTTTCTCTCTGATTCATCAGAGCAGCAGGGCCCCTTCAACACCCTTCTTCTGTAATCCTGGGCAGAAGGGTGTGCCTGGACTCTCTGATTCTGTGTTCTGCTGAGATCTCTTTGTGCTGCCTGGTTGCTGCACTCGGAGCACTGTCCTGCCAGCAGCAGGTCCTTTTTTGCAGCACTTCTTAGACGTTTTGTGATGGAGACTGAGTAAAGCTATTGATTACAAAGCCTTTATCTGGGCATTTGGGAAGAGAGCTGGGGTGTCTCGGGCCTTTTGTGTTCCTGAGAAAGTGACAAGCTCTTTCCTGTTGTCCACAGAAGGAGAAGATGAAAATAAAGACACAGCAGTTGGTGGAGAAGGTCAGGAGGTCTCCCAATGACAATGGCTCCTTTGAGGTACAAGGTAAGTTAAGAAAGGAGAAAGGTATTGTTGGCAGATGATACATCTCTGCTTTTATTCAGCTATTCCCACCCCAGCACTTCAAGTTTCTTGCATCAGTTGGGAGAATCTCCTTCAGGAGGGCACCTGAGAGGCAGATCACCTGCAGTATTCCCTGGAGGGCTGGTTCAGGGTTTGGGAATGCTGAGGGGCAGTGTCTGCACTTATTGGCAGGTGTCTAGCAGGGTGCTTTCCAAATTCCTACTCCCTGTCCACCCTCCACAGGCAGCACGTGCATTATTCTGCTTGAAGTGCCTGTATGAGATGAAGCATTGCACTGCACTCAGTACCAAAATGAACTACTAAATTTAGCCATGGAACCCAAATTTCCCTCTGTATCTGGGAGCTCTGGCTGAAGCAGAGTGTGGGGACAGCGCAGGGCTGAAGGCTGTGCTGCCATTCACCAAGCTGAGCTCTTGTTATGAATAAAGGCCCTTCAGTTTCTCAGGATGCCACCAGCACCTTTCTCCAAAGCCTGAAATCACAAAGGTCTGACTGCTGCTCATTGGAAAAACCTCTTAATTTATCTGTGTTCCTCCACAGCTTAAACCAAGTGAAGTAAAATGAATGTCAGGTCACCAGTAATTGAGTGCAAGAGGCATTTGACAATAGATTTGTATGATCTGTTGTTAAAATGTTAACCTTTAATTAAGCAGCTTCATAATAGTCCTGACTGGGGTTATGTGGGTTGTATTTTGTGGTTGCACTTGTTCAGAGGGCTGTGTGGTAATGTTTGCTGTGGTGCAGTGGGTTCCTGTAAGAACAGCAGTCCTCAACCAGCAATTGGAAGGGAATGCAAATGTCTCACCCTGGAAAGCTGCTGCTCTCACACGGCTTCTTCTGTCTGTGCTTTATAGTTGCTATATTGACTGCCAAGATACGCTCTTACGAGGAACATCTTCAGATGCATCCCAAGGTAACTATCAGTAACTATCTGAGCCCACACGTTTGAGGTGGCAGCTGTTCAGGTTGTTTTCTTTGTTTAGAACAAAAGGATTTTAATTCAGGGAATTATGGCTTTCCTAAGAAGGTTTATAAAATATTTACAACTGTTCCCTGGTGCCGATCTGGGAAGCTGCTGGCTCAGTCACAGCTATGTTCTCAGTGACTGAAATGTGGAGTGTGTTCTTTTTTGTTACTGGATTGGTGGAAATGGCTGAGCAGATTCCTTTGAACAGAGTTTAGCTAAATTTATCCTCGCTGCAGATGTGGCTTCACTGCTTAGTTTTCAATGTAAATTACTGTTATTATTTCAGCAGCTGTATTCTGTCTTTGTTCTGCCTCTGAAAATGTTGAGCAGCCAGGGTGATGTTAATGTTACAGTGACCATTCTCCTACATAAAGCTGCCCGGGTTCAGAGCCCAAATGTAAAACATCACAACTATGAGTTTATGGGTGAGATACATAAAAGATTCTTTGTGCAGTGCAAAAGGTGGGAAATGGATTAATCAGCTGCATTTGGAAAAAGTGCCTAATTACTTGTTAATCATAAAAGCTCGAAGGGTAAAACAGGATAGAATTCAGTTTTTATAAAAAGCCAGAAGTTGTACCAAATGTTTTGGCAGAAGAGACCTTTGGAAATTACTTGGATGAAGCCTGCTTTTTACAGAAATTGCTGGTGTAGGGTAGGGAAATTTCTCCTGTGGGGAACTGCCCTGAATGGCACAGCTCAAGCTACCCATATTCTCTTCCAAATAAAACCCAAACGGTCAGATACAGCCAAGTCACATTTTATTTTCCCAATTAATTTCTGTAAAAAAACAAAGGTAAATGCTTCAGTGTTATTTCTGGAAGAATACATTTCAGGGCAAGCAAGAGTTTTTAGCTGGTAGACCTTCCCCACAGTCTTTGCCTTCAAGCCATCACAGCTTTTGCCACCACAAACAAGGTAAAAACCATCTTTGGGGTTGGGAGAGGAAGGTGCAAACACAGAGTGAAGGAAGCAATTTCAGTGAAAAGCAAATTAAGTCTTCTCAGATCTCCTTGTAGTGACCCAATGTGCTTGCAGTAACTGCCAAGAAAAATTGTTCTAAGACACTGTCCTTAACCTGATTGTTTCCTTTCAGCCATAATCTGGTCTATTCTCAGTATTTTATTGGAAGGGAAGTGTAATCTGTCTGCAATGTAGTGAAGGTTCAGTCCTTTGCAGGATAAGAATAACCGTCGCCGCATGCTGATGGCTATAGATCACCGGAGGAAGCTACTTGCCTACTTGCGCCGTGTCCGCTATGGTACCTTTGAAAACACCTGCAAGCAGCTGAACATCCAGTACACCCTCCCCCCTCCCTACTCCAGGAGGATCACCAAGCGCTTGCTGGTGAAGAAGGCTTTCTGCCTCAAGGTACGGAGCCTTCTGGAGAGAGAGAGACATGTAGCTGGGGTAGAAAAAAATCCCTTTGTAGAAGGGCACGATTAAGACAGTTAGAAAAGACTGATAGCCAAGTCCTTTTAATCCGTGCTTTGAATCTGAGGAGACAATGGAGATGTCTGCAGAGAAATGCCTCAGCTTGGCAACAAGCTCCACAACAGGCAGTACAGTGGGCAGTGACGCGTGCGACTGTGCTACCAATCCCCTCAGAAATGTGTGATTCAAACCAGCCTTTTTCAGAGCCTGATATGGGAATTAATATGTGAGACCATGAAATCTGATGGCAGCTCTGGAACAGAGATGTGGGTTTGCCCACTGTCTGCGCTCATCTGCTCTGAATCCATCGCTGTAACAGCTGTGGGTGATGCACCTTCGTGTAGCTGAGCAGGATCAAACAGCTGGACGTGCCTCCAGTCTGTAAATACTAAAATTCAGTCCAATAAATTCTAACCAAAGGACTGGGCAGTGCTAATGGATACCTCCGAGTGTGCCCTGAGCACAGGGCTGGCTGGGCTCCTGGAGGAGGCGCAGGGGAAGCAGTGACCTTGCTGCACGCATGTCCCCTGCCTCTGCTGCAGGAACTCACACCGTGCTGCGCGCGGCAGCGAGCGGCGGTGGAGGAGCAGCTCTGCTCAGCAGCAGGTGGGTTTCTCTCTCCCCTTCTCTCACCTCCTCGTGCTCTTCCCGCAGGTTTTTCAGGAGGTGCGGAAGCTGAAAGCGCCGGAGAGACTAAAGCAGAGAAGAGAGTGGCAAGCAAGAGCGAGAGCTGCCCGGGAGAAGGAGGCGCAGGCGCAGAGCGAGGGGACGCCCGTGTAGCGGCGCGTTGGGGCTGACACAGCCGGGGTCTCACAATAAATCACTACGTGGAGACACGTCGGCTCTGTGCCCGCGTGGTCTGTGCCAGGGTGAGCACCCGGGAAAGCACAATGAGTGGTTTCAGCTTCTTAGAAGCTCAGTTTGAGGCTGGTGTGCTGGACTGTGGTGTGAGCAGTTCCAGCTGTGCGAGGGGAGTACCTGGGGGGGGCTTGTGCACCGCCCCGTGACCGGGAAGGCAGAGATGTCTGAGCGAGGACACCTCTGAGCAGTGTCCATCTCCTGTCACAGCCCAGCGAGCTGTAGGGTCGCGCAGTCAAAGCGGGCAGGGCTGTGGGATGGCGTGAGGAGAGAGAACGGGGAGACACGCTGCTTTTTGGGAAAGGAAGAGGCCACCACGGCAGCTCGGAGCGCGG